ATTCTCCCGAGCAGAAACTGCTGAACCCAACTGGTACTGGAGCTCCTTAACTTGCTTGGCCCGTGCCAAGATTTCCTCTTTCATACCTCGGAGCTGGTTTTTAGCCGAGGCCAGTTGGGCCCGAGCATTCTCCTTCTTTGAGGCTAGGCGGTCCATTTTTTCTCTCCATCCTTCGGCCTCGATTTTAGTGCATCAGCCTCTTCACGGAGTTGCCTGATCATGTCAAGATTTTGTTGGGCCTGCGGGTTCGAACCATTAGCTACCACACCCGAATCACTGTCACTAACTTCAAATATTCTTCCTACTTGCTCGACCAGTTCGGCGTGGTCTTTCTGAGCCGTTTCTAGCTCAGCGCGGAGGCCTTTAGCTTCCCCTTCTCTTCGCTCGCTGAGAAGCTTGAAGGCATCCTTTTCCTCAGTAAGCCCTTGGATCTCGACCTTATACTGGCTCAGCTCCCTTCGAAATCGGAGGAAAGCCTCATGATGAAGCACAAAAGCCTACAAAAATAGTAAAGGAAGTTATATAAAAGGAGAAAAATCTATATGTAAATTAACATCGGCAGGGAGATCTGGGATTACCCGGTTCAGAGCTTGTTGGGCTTCGTTGAAAAGACAAGGTGTTCCCACCTCATCCATCTTGGCTTGGTCTTCCTCGGTGACCAAGCATCGGAGGTGACTAGCCACCCCTACGGGGGCAGAGAGAACCTGACATCCTTCGGGACCGCGATGACAATTGATCGTTTACGCCACGGGATCGACGCTGGGAGCCGGAAACTGGTCGGTCAGTTTAAAACTCGAGGAGGATTCATTCGAGCTCTTCCTCGGTATTTCCAAGTCACCCAGACCCGTGACGTCTTCCACTGCAACAAAGTAACCATGGAAAAGGTCTTCGCCCCCATGGACCCCTTCACCGTGGCAAGCCTCCATCGCTTGAGCATCCTTGATCGTCGAATCAGAGAATGAAGGCAATGAAGGGGAATCTCCAATCTCTATCGCCCCGAGTAAATCTTTTGGGCGTCATCAGCATCCGCCGCCTCCTTAATAGCCTTTTGCACCTCGAGGTAAAGCGACTTCAGCTCTTTCTGGCTTGGGGACTTCGGCTGAGGCTTCCCCCTCGGGCTCATTAAGTCAAGGCGGAGCAATTTTAGCTCCCCCGGCTCGGAGATTTTTCGAGCATCAGCGCCTGCCCGCGCTCGGGCCACCAACCTGGTTTCTTCTTCATCCTCTTCGGACTCATCTAGTAGCCGACGGACCGAGTCCATTGTTAGAGGGATGACATTTCCCTTGGGCTTACGGGTTCGCCTCTTTTTGGGCTTCTTCTCATCCGACTTCGTGGAACTCGGAGCCCCTCTCCTCTTCCGCTCTTTTTTCTTCTTCGGAGCAGATGGTTGGGGAAGGATTTCTTCATCGCCAGATGGGGGCCTCATTGGCACATCCTTCCCGAGACCTGCAAAAGAAAGATAAGTAAGATCAAAGGGAATTCGAACAATGCCCAAATTGTTAAGTCACAAAGGAAAACTTACCATGGTTACGGGCCTCCCATCGGCCTTTCTCCAAATCGCGCCATGCACGCTCAGCATGTGTCGATTTCGATACTAGGCTCCTGACCCAGCTCTCGAGTTGGGGAACCCCACCCAGCATCCAGGCAACGGGTGCATAAGGTAAAACCCTGGATTAAAAAATAAAGACAATAAGCAGAAATTAAGGACAGAGTTATACTTACGTCTCATATTCCATTTCTCAGGAAATGGGATACTCTCGGCCGGGATCGAGTCCGAGGTCTTCACTCGGACAAATCGGCCCATCCAGCTCCGGTTATTGTCTTCATCTATGCTCGAGAAAGGTGCCTTGGAGGCCCGACGTTGAAGCTTTATTAATCCCCCTCGATAGAGTCGGGGGCTATATAGGCGTATGAGGTGGTCGAGGGTAAAGGGAAGCCCATCGACTTGGCTCACATAGAAACGGAGCAATATCACTATCCTCCAGAAAGAGGGGCGAATCTGACCCAGGGTCACTTCGTACTTCTTGCAGTCTATAATGACCGGATCCAAAGGACCCAATGTGAAAGGGTAAGTGTAAACACTTAGAAACCCTTCCACATGGGTAGTGATTGATTCCTCAGGTGAGGGCACCACCATGTGCTTGTCGACCCAACTGCAGTCCTCTTTAACTTAGTCGAGGAGATTACCGGTGGTCGTGCATGTATACCTCGACATTGGCTCGCATCGACCCGCAACCGAGGGGTCTTTTCAACCTTGAAGTCGGAGTCAATGATGCACCCTCTGGGAAAGAATTCAGGGCCTGGCTCCGCCGATGGTTGTTCGCCGGCCGGCCGGGACGAGGAAGCAGCTTCCTTTTGCGGAACAGTTTTAAAGTCTTAGCCATTTTACTTTTGCGAGTGAAGAAAAATGGAAATTGAGGAGAGATGCTTGGCATTTTGTGATGAAAGAGGCGAAGAAACACCAAAGATCTGAAAGTTCAGAGCTTTTAGGGAGGCAAAGGATTTTAGAGATTAGAGCAAAGAAGATTTGAAAGTAAAGTTTGGGCAAAAGAAGAAAGATACATTTATAGGTTGAAGACGATGATTCAGAACCGGTAGTGGCCGACAACAACTGACATGCGTTTAATGCCATGATATTCGAACCGACGGGACGTTTCAGTATCCACTTGTCGCTGACGTCATGTTTGGGTTCGTCGCTTATGTCATGACCATCGAGATGGGATTGGAAAAGATCATATCGTTTCTCGTCGCCTTCTCTCCGAGAAACGAGGGGACTATTTGTATACGGTCAAAATCGGGCTTGACCTGGAACGAGGCAGACCAAGGTTCGACCCTACGTTATATCAGACCATGGCGTAAAGTTAGACTGCCGAGCTCCAGACCAATCGAGATCGAAGTCGGCTAAGAGCGGAGCTAGGTAGGATAGAGATCGAGCAAGATCGAGGAAAGCTTACCGAGCCAAATAACGGAAAACTAAAATATCCGCAGTCGGGCGAGGCTCACCGCTGAAATCCAGGCACGTATCAAGAAGAGGCCGATTAATTAGCCAATCATGGGATTTCTTACAGTATTTAGAATTGTACCAAGAGTAGGACTCCCCTACTATATAAATGGGGTCTGTTCATTTGTAAATATCATCATATTCACGTTACATAAAGCAATAGATCATCTTCTTAAGCTCTCAATACTTTGCTATTCTGTTCATACTTTCCAGTAAATACTTATCTGATTCGAGGGTGACCTAGCTCGAGGATCAAAGATAGACATCTCATTCGGCTTGCTTTATTTTTATTTAATTTCAATATCTATTTACGTTCTCTCTCAGTATGTATAAAGTAAGATCACGTGTCCTTAAAACCACAGTATAAATTCAATTGTTATCCGTTTTTAGGGTAAACAAGACCATTGACTGACGAAGTGGACAGATATTGCTCCATTTAAGGGTGTACTGGGAGAACTAGAAGGGATCCAACAACCCACAACAATTTCATAAGACCTAAGGGAGAGAGAAGGTAGGGACTAGGGACTCTCAATTTTAAAATTATCTATAGGATAAAATGAGAAATTTAAAGTTAAATAATTTTTAAATATAAAAAGTTAGACATACTAAAAAGAAAAATGCATCACGTTGCCAATATCGACAGCAGCTCCTGTTCAAGCTCTTGTTTCGATTCCCGCAAAAGAAATTATTTCAGTCTCAACTGGATAAATGAACAGCTTCGCATCTATTTCCTATTGTAATGACAAAGGTTTTTCTACTGATCCAGTGTCAGATAATTGGGAATACGCTTTCAGCTCTTAATTGAGACATTAACTTCAATGAGATTAAAAGGTGACATAGATATGAAAATAGAGCTTCTTTAAGGTGATTCTCAAGCAGGTGTGATCTTCAGATATAACAATTTTGGTTTTGTTAGTGATTTTATTTCTCAATTTTGCAAAGGTTGATGAATATTTCTTCGATCTTTTTCCTTGCGTAGCTCGAGCTAGCCTCTCCCCTCAAGTTTCTTTTTTTTTTTTTCCCGCTATATGGAGTTCAAATCTCTTGGTCCATATACTAACATAGTTCTACCATCATAGTGGCGGACACTGAAATTTATATTATTATCGCAATTTGTCATATAAGTATGTTTAAGTCTAGAAATATGATGGTTTTAAGGTTTTCCTCCCAATCCCAAATTGATATTTATTTTTGTATTATTCACAATCAGTATCGGTCCATTGTATATATACGTATTTACCTACACAAATATAAAGAAAATTGTAATAAAGCAGTGCCGATCAAGGTTAAAATTTTTCTATTTTAATATTTTGTCTTAATATAAATGTCGTAAAATAAGCTGCTTTGATCAATCTTAACCTTATATGGAGAAATCATGCCTCATGCTACGTTTTTTCAAATGTAAAAAGAACAACTTTCAATTCCAATAGAGGAAAGAAACGGTCAATTAACAACATTAATCAAAGAGAAAAGAAAAAGATTCATTCTAGGTGGGCCATAAAAGATTTAAATCAATTATTTAAGTTAAAACATATTGATAGTGTTAAACTAACTTAATTAATCATTTTATGCTTCCTATAAACAACAATCCATAGTAAGCTTCTAAGTAATATAATAGTGTAAAAAATCTTTTGTTATTTAAAATTAAATTCATTTAGAAAAGCTAAATAGCCAACGAACTACAAATTTAAAGAGAAACAAAAATCGTTCCCTGTTATGACTTATGACTGGAATTTTTTAATTTCTTTATTTATTTGTTTGAACCATTAGCTGAGGACTTGAGGTAAAAGAGCTTTCTATTTTAGTGTACGTTAACCATTAATTAATACTACTAGAGCTATCATATTTCGGGTGGAATATTTTAAAATGCCCTTTTCCTTTTCTCAATAGAAACTAAAATGTTTTTTTTTCTTTTCACACGGTTAATAAGAAAATTAAAAAAACAGAAGTTTAAGTGGGAATTGGGATGGTAATTCGAATTGCTGTTTGCATAGAGCGGGTAGGGGAAAAATTAGAACCGGTCGGGTCGGGTCAGGAGATTATCTATAAATACCGCAATTTTGCCGCCATTTCAGTAAAATTCAAATAAGAAATCAGTAGCAGATGAATATTTGATCTGAGAGAGAAGCTTCAACACGGAAAATACGTGCTAGGGTTTCAATTCCGTAGGAAACTTACATTTTGCCGTCAGATTTCGAATTTGTGGAAGGTTTTGTGGAATTTGTACAGCTCTATATAGGTTTCGTACCTCGCGATTTGAATTTCAATTTCAAATGCGTTATTTCTTTTATCTCTGATTTTCAGGTTATTCCTACACTTGAGATATTCATCGGCGATTTATAAACTCTAAGTTCCGATTTTGCTTGTATTCCAAATATTGCAAGTACGAAGCAAAATGAATTTCGCTGTGTATGTGTGTGTGTGTTTTCTGTAATGTTTTGTTGATTACGTATATATTTCTTCTAGGTTCCGGTTTTTGTTTGTCTTCTTCTGGTTATTAAAGAGCATTTCATATTCTGTAAGTGCGAAGCAGAATTCTCGCTGTGTGTGTGTGTGTTTTGGGTAATATTTTGTTGTTTACGTATATATTTCTTCTAGGTTCTGATGTTTGTTTGTTTTGTTCTGATTATTCAGGAGTATTTCAAATTTCGTAACTACGAAGCAAAATGAATCTCACTGTCTGTGTTTTTATTTATTTTTAAATTATTTTGTTGATCATGTATATATTTCTCCTTCATTTTCAGGTTTCCGATCAAACGTATTGTGGATAAGACAGTTATTGAGCTCGTCTGAAGGTGAAATTTTTTTGCCTAAGCACTTGATATTCTTATTATCTGTTTCGCGGTTTGAAAAGTATAGGACTGAGGCATTGAGATCATATTTCCAACTTGTTTGGTTCTGAGACATAGTAGTTGTAGTAGTAGTAGTAGTTGTTGTAAACTGAGAGCGTTTTACACTACCGATGTAGTTTAGCTGATAGCTGGTTTATATCTTTTACAGTTTGTCAATTTATATCTATTATATACAGTTACCTATTAGTTGGCTTTAGTTGATTTTAAGCACCGGATAGTTTAAAATATTTTCTCTACCATTTTTGAAGAATTTGCTGTGCAACTGCATTCTGGCTAATACTTCTGTTTACCTGAATTCTTAGTTAACTTGGTTCATGCGTAATCATGATGTTTTTCTTTATAGAAAGTTGAGTATTCATCACCATGATAAACTCTGATTTTTCAACACATAAGCAGCAGGCAATTTCAAGTGATAGTTAGCTAGCTTTTCTATGCCAGTTATCAAAACTAGTTTTGTCATTTTTGTGTTTCCAGTTAGTTTACTTCAGCTAGAGGTTTCAGTTATTGGATATTCTAGCTGCCATTAGGCAGTTCTTCTTTCAAGTCAAGAATATTTGAAATTGGATTAGCTAGCTACAGCTGGCTGTTAGTGGATTGTCTCTTTCTGTAACTTGAGATGCAAAGGTCGTTCTGCAATGTTGTCGACTTTGCTGTAGGGATAATTTAGTCATTTCTTATTGACTATTCTGTGTCTATATCCATAGAATGCATTGGATCAGAAATGTTATGCTCAAAATTTTGAATGATTCCAGAACTTTGTATAATGTGCTATGAAATTGACAATCATCTTTGAATGTTGAGATGAGATGCAATGCTTGCTGGCGAGAACTGGAAGGACAGGCCATCACCACCACATGTGGCCACGTTTTCTGTATCCTAGTTTTATATGTATTCCATATAGACATGCATATGTTTTGTGTGTGTTCCAGCCCCCAAGAGAATGTCTTAGCGGCCGAAGAACTAGAGTTACAATCATGAGAATCAAGTTCTGAATCCAACAGAGGTGACACTAAGTGAATTCTTCCATTCTTCCAATCTCTTGGTAGCAGAATTATCCGTTACCTATATTAGTGGGAGGTAGCATGTACTGATGGCTTAATCGATGTGTGGAATCTGACCTGGCACCACCATATCCAAGAAGAGAAAAAAATTGTGATTTCCATGCAGACATGTATTTTTTGTGCAGTTTCCTCATGGATATGATTTTGGTGTACAACTGCTATGATTCCTTAACAATGTTAATAGGCCCGAACGATGCTAGTAAGATTCTCAGCAATGATGCCGCTTGTCCTATCTGTGATCAAGTTCTGTCTAAGAGGTTAGTCCTATCTAATATCACCTTATGGTTGAAGTGTGGTTTTGGTCACCTAAAGACGATGATTTCGCAAAAGGTATATAACTATATCCTAAATTTGCTTCTTCTCTAGCTTCTTGTCCCTTTCTTCTTTTGATTCATTATTCTAGATCTTTTCTTTCTCCTTCCTTTTTTGTCGGGAGGGGGTGGGGCTTATGACACTTCCAGAAAATTGTTTTGTTTTCCACTGCTAAATTTGGTATAGTAATTGGTTTTCTTTTGCTTTTACTAGCATTATCTAATCACTCAAAGTAATGTGTAGCATTTTGTCGAATTGGCTATCATGTAATTAATTATCTGACGTTTTTGCCTCAGTCTCATGAAACCTGTGGATGTCAATCCAAGTGATGAATGGACAAATGTAAGCATACATCCATGAAACGATTGCTCCTTTATCACTTTTATAGTTCCTGTGACCTAATCATATTTGTTTCTCACACATTTCATCATTAGCATCCTAGTTAAAATTTGTTCACCCTCATGCAGATGGTCATGACTGGAATATCACCACAGATATGTATCCTTCATAGTGCTGTATTGCAACATCTGTAATATTCAGTTTTACTTTTAAAACATAGTGAAGTTGGGTTAGTTAAATTAACGTACTACTTCCCAAATTGGATTTAGTGTAATAGCACTTTTCAGAAATGGTATTTACATCAGCTTCATTATTTTCTCCTTAACCATACCCAGTAATGAAGAGTGCCTACAAAAGTGTGACGTTCTACATTGGGCAAAAGGAATTGGAAATGCAATTCAAGGTGAACAAGTTAGTCGCTCAATACCAACAGAAATGTGAGATGATGCAAGAGAAATTCGCTGAAAAGTTTGAGCAAGTGCGTACTGCATACCAGAAAGCGGCTAAAAAGTGCCACATGCTGGAACAAGAGATCGAGAGCTTATCTAAAGACAAGCAGGAACTCCAAGAAAAGTTTGCTGAGAAATCCAGGTTCTTCTTACAGTTTTTAACAGAGATTCTATTTGTCCAAGAAAAAAAAAAAGAATTCCGATGGAACTGCAAAAGTGTGCTCAAGTTATCCACTATAATCTATTGACTGAGGAGGTTGCAAAGTGTGCGGTGCTTTACTACTGGAATCCACTATCTTTGGTACATGCTCTCAGAATTAACATAGGTCCATGTTGTCAGGCAAAAGAGAAAACTTGATGAAATGTATGATCAGTTGAGAAATGAATATGATTCAGTAAAGCGCTCGGCCATTCAGCCAAGTAATTTCTTTTCAAGGACAGAGCCTGATATGTTCGCAAATCCTGCTAATATGATGGACAACAGAGATCATATGGGAAAAGGTAATCATTTTATTTTAAGAATAATCACATGGCATATGTGAGTTTGGTGCAGTTTGGCAAACTAGATTTGTTCTTCTTAGTGTATGAATACTCATTGACAAAATTCTTTGCATTTAAAGATGAATTCTACTTGGTATATGAACACTCAACTGTCAAAGTACTTCGAATTTTGGATATTTCGCTCTCAAAGCTGCACTAACCTTTGAGCAAAGTATTAGTTGACTCATTTATCGCAGATTGGTCGGTCACTCCTGAAACTCCAGGACCAAGAGAAGACATATGGCCTCCAGCAAGAAAGAATAGTTCCAACTCTGGCCCTTTTGATATCTCGAGTGGATCCCCTGCAAGACAATCAGCAATACCAGCAGATACTGGAAATAGAAGAGCAAGTGCACGTCCTATGCTTGGTGTTGGAACTGGAGCAAGCAATCCCTCACAGACCCTTAGGAATCTCATCCTTTCACCGATTAAGAGACCTCAGCTCTCCCGCAACCGACCACAGATGTTCACGTAAGCCACAAAATTTACATCCAATAAGCTGAGATATCAAAAGCTGAATTCTTAAAAGAATTGGTTTTCCAGGTTTTGAAGTCGGGAGATCTTTCAATTTCAATAGTGTGGAGAAATATATACTTGAGATGCAACAATGGATCAGGTTTCCTGACATTTTACAGTGGGAAATTTTGTTTTGTGAATTAAAGTGCCAGATATTGGTATGCTTGCTGACTTTCCTTAGCGGCGGAAAAACTAAATATAAAATCATATGGAGTAAGGTTTCATAGTTTACAGACAAGTGGATGATGTGATATGAGTTACAGTTTAATAGCTGTAACTTCTCGTATACTACTTAAGTGTAGGGTAAAAATTCCGCTAGAAGTCTTCTCTTCTTCTATCTTCATTTCTCCCTCCTCACTCGAAGATAATTTGGGCAGGATATTACCAGTCCCATATATAGAACTTCCAGGTGGACTCCTAAAAATTTAATTCCAAGTCTTGTTACTTTTTCGTTTCTTCCTAAATGTAGTGTCTAGGGACTGTTTAAAACCTGTTCTAGCGTGATCTTCTGAAATACTTCAAAATATAAGTCATGCTCATTTTTGACTGTATTAGCATCTTTAGTTTTATGTCAACAGATAGTGTCTAGAGGTAATTTTCTCGTGATAAAGTCTAAATGGACTTGATTTCTTGTGCTTGGGTGCTGCTGCTTTGGTTCTTAAAATTTGACAACATTTAATTAGGATACAAGTTTATTTGTTGTTATTTTGTGTTGATCAGCTTTCCACTGTAATGAAACTCTGCTGTCTCACATATATGTTATAAATCAGCACCAGTAAATTCATTCTTATTTGAAGAGCTGGTGAGATTTTACCAGCAAATTACTAGTATTAGTCTTGTCACTCTGCTGTAAATTACCTGTACTCTTTAGAATTTTATGAAACGACACTCCGTTCCTAGTACAGAAACGTCAAACAAATGGTTCAAGGATATAAACTGACAGTGCTTTGCTTGTCATCAATTCAAGGAACATCTATTAGACCTCCAGATGACATGCGGCTAACTTACAAAAGCATATTTCTGTATTATATAATCTCGTGATATCAAGTGTGAAGGCAAGAAAACTTTCAAAATTGGAGCTTTTTGGGGCAATTTAGTGATGGGTAAAAACTTATCAGCATCTAATGTTTACACAAATATTATTAATTTACCACGATCAACATATGCAGACCAAATTAGCGAAAATTATTAGAAGTAAAAGCAATACTCCAACTTGCATACAAGATATTTATACGTAGATTTGATACTACAGTCATATGACTTAAATCCTTGCTTACATGCTATTCAATGTCTACTGAATTTCTTGCTATTGCGATACGTCGAAGGTTGAGCCTCGTTTATGCATAGAGAATGATCGTGAAAAAACAACTGTTGTAAAAATCGAGATTCTAATAGTAAGATGGCAATGCTTCTTAGTCTTGAGTAGGCGAAAACCAATATGTGTTTTGAGGTTCCGGACCTAACACCTTGCACTTGGCACGTTGTCGTAATTAAGAGGATCGAATGAAAGTATTTTCATTATAAACATAGAAAATCTACCATTATTTTCCAATAGTTTCATGTGGGTGGCACATTAAAATATTACGGAAATTGATCTGTGAATCGTGGTGATGGGCCACGTGAAACTTAGTTCGAAGTCTGTTGATCCTAGTTTTTGCGGGGCCTTATGCCATGATGGGCAATATAAAACTTAGTTAAGTGGATATTGTTGGCGGTGCGAACAAAAGTCCTAAATTGGTAGCGGAAAAGAGAAGAATTTAAACCTACATATAAGATGTAGGGATACTTTTAATGTGGGAGACATTTTGAGAAAATTATGCAGAACTTTGCCCAAAATGGACAATATCACGAATCGTTAAAGTTAAATGTACTTTATACCGCTTCTCTTATATTGCCACAGATCTTCTCTAATATCTGGTAAATGAAATAGTAGTGAAAGGAAATCAAAGGAGATCGAGAGTAACAATAAACTGGAATGCAAATAAGCTACTACAATATATATTGTTTACCCTAAAATCCGAGTAACAATTAAACTTGTATTGTGGTTTTAAAGATACGTTATTTGATCCAATACTAATTGATAAACAAGGAATCTAATGTATAAATTAAAGAGTAAAGTAAGTCAAACCAACGTATAAGCAGACCTCGACCTCGAACAATGGCGGCCTCAAGGTAGGTGGATAAGAACAATAAAATAATAAGGCAAGTCAGATGAACAGTAAGCAAGAAAGTGAAATATGGATATTCTCTTCTCAATGATTGATGCGTTACAAATGATTGAGTCCCCTTTATATAATAGGGGAATCCTAAATAAGGTACACTTCCAATTGTAGTAAGGAATCTTATTATACAACTGTCTAACCGCCTAGTACAAATTCGTTCCGGAATTTACGCCGTGATCATAGGGCCACTGCGGGAATCTCTCTCTTTCCATTATGAAACCATAACGGTATTATCTTGAGGTTGGTCACACGTGGCCTCGGTGTTCATCGAGCACTCTAATCTTCGAATTTTGTACTTCGCCATCGGGCTCGCGCCCGGTCCATTTCCAACTTGTTCTCGAAGTGACCCTCGAGCCCACAGAATCGGGCATACCTGATTTCGACCATATACAGATAGTCCCCGCGTTTCTTAGAGTAAGATGATAAGAAACGATTTGATCCTCGATCCTCTGATGCCTCGATCATGATGCCAATCCCGTGACGTCAGCGATAGAAGTGATTGAAAGGTCGCGTCTGCATAGTTCCCAAGTCATTAATTGAAGGCGGATGATGGTCGGCCATTGGCTTCCCCCAAACCGTTGATGCGGCCACTATAAATAGGTCAATTTCACAACCTTTACAATCTTTACTTCTCAAATCCTTACTAGCTTCTTCATCTTCTTTGAGTTCATCCTTCCTTCAATTTGCACTTGTTGCAACATCAACTTCTTCTCTTCTTTTGAGTTTCTCAACAACGATGGCTAAAACATCTAAAACCGTTCCTCAGAAAGAAAAAGCCTCCTCATCATTGCGGTCGGCCGGTGGTAGAACGACGGTGCCACCTCGTATCGAGGAGTGTATTCCTGGGCCATGCGAGCTATCTTCCGATTTGAAAATCGATAAGCCTGCATCAGTTCCAGGCCGATGCGAGCCCATGTCCCGATACATCTGCTCGATAACTGAAGACGATCTTGAGCAGGTGAAAAAGGATTGCAATTGGGAGTAAGGCTGTATGTGGTCCCGGGCCCGGGCCTAAATGGGCTAAACGGGCCGGGCTAAACGGGCCTGGGCTTAGCGGTCTCGGGCTTCCGGAATGCGTGTTGGCCTGGCGTCAGGACAGCCCCCTTTGGGGATCCAACCTCCCAGAACGGATGGCATCTGCCATAAGAACAGGCCGTGACTCCCGACGAGCCTCACTCGCCCCCTCCATCTACCATGGCTACCCCCTTGCCGGTTATCAACCGCGT